AATATGTTCTTATATTTGTTTGTATTTTTTTGGTGTTGGTTGTGATCTCTCCTCTTTCATTCATGATTTTATTTATTTGTGTCCTTTCTCTCTCTCTTTTTTTTTTTTGATAAGTGTGGCCAGGGGTTTATTGATATTAATTCTTTCAAAGAACCAGCTCCTAGTTTCTTTGATCTGTTTTACTGTTCTTTTGGTTTCTATTTCATTGATTTCTGCTCTGATCTTTATTATTTCTCTTCTCTTGTTGGGTTTTGGCTTTATTTGTTGTTCTTTCTCCAGCTCCTTTAAGTATAGGGTTAGGTTGTGTATTTGAGACCTTTCTTGTTTCTTGAGAAATAGAGCCTCCATTTTTTATTGCACCTCAATAATAGTCTTTTTTATTTCAACTTGGTTAAATTTTATTTCTCCAGAAAGGGATTCTCTAGTATCTTCTATGCTTTGTTCAAGCCCAGCTAGTATCTTTATAAACATCATTGTGAACTCTAGTTCCAATATCTTACTAATTATCTGTATTGATTAGGTCCCTGGCAGTCGGTACTGCCTTTTGTTCTTTTTTTTTAAGGTGAGTTTTTCTGTTTTGTTTTCTGTTTCTGTTTGAGAAGAATAGATGAATGAGAAAACAAAATGCTAACAGGGTAAAAACAACCACAGGAAAATATACACTAAACAAATCAGGAGAGACCCAAAAACAGGGGAAAAGAAAAAAAAAAAGAATATGATCAGGCTGGTGAATAGAACAGAGCCACACAGTAGATTTTGGCTGTATTTTGGTCTGTTAGGAGAAACTCCCTCCCAAAATTTTAAAGATAGAAAAACTTATATATATACAAAAATAAGGGTAAATATGATGAAGGGATAGAATATGACTACAAAAATGAAAATTAAAAATATTTTTAAAAAGGAATTGATAAGATGTTGGTTGAAAAAGGAAAAAGAAGAAAAATTTTTTAAAAAGAAACAGAAAAGGAAAAAATAAAGAAAATTTTAAAAAATTAGATTTGAAAGACTAAAGGATCATGGGGAAAAAGGCATGAATTCTATGTGCTGTATTCCCCTAGTGCTGGAGTTCTGCCGTTCTCATTGATCGGTAAACTTGGTCTTGGCTGGCTGTTCTTGCTGATCTTCTGGGGGAGGGGCCTGTCACAGTGGTTCTCAAATGTCTTTGCCGGAGGTGGAATTGCCCCGCCCTGGCTGGGCTGGGCTAAGTCATCTGCTCAGGTTTGCTCTAGGGAACTTTTGTTCCCTGAAAGCTTTCCTTACAGCTTTGGAGGATGAGAGTGAAATGGTGGCCTCCCAATCTCTGCCCCGCAGGATCTGAAAACTCGGGGCCCCATTCCTCAGTGCACCCCCAGAAAAAAGCAGTCAATCACTCCCGTCTTCCTGGTCTCTGGCCGCACTCCGTGTTCACCCAGCCTGTGACCGAGCATTTCTGTCTCTGGCACATGACCCCATGTGGAGTCTCCAAACCCAGCAGATCCCTGCGGTGAGCTCCTGCACCACTCCTCCCAGGGGAGGAAGGGGAGTCTCCCCAGATCTGCCGCTTTTGGGGTCCCTGCTGGAAGACCAGTGGCCCGACTGTGCCATGCATCATGGTTTATGGCCATCCCGGGCTAAGAGCCCATTCCTCGGCTCCGTCTCTGCAGCCAGCTTCCCCGCTCTGATACCTGGGAGCTCTGCCGCACTGAGGCACCCCCAGTCCTTCTGTGGAGAAAGAGCCACACAGTAGATTTTGTCCCAGTGAGGGTTCCACCCCCCACTTAGCCACTGGAGCGACATCCCTCAGTGGACAGACTTCTAAAAGTTCCGATTTTGTGCTCCGTTGCTCTATCACTTGCCGGTAGCTGGCTGACGGAGGCTCCCTCCCCACCGTGGTCTACCTTCCCATATATCGCCTGGGATTCACTTCTCCTCACGTCCTACCTTCCAGAAAGTGGTTGTTTTTCTGTTCAGAGAGTGCTGCTATTCTTTTCTTTGATCTCCTGTTGAGTTTGTAGGTGTTCAGAATGGTTTGATCCCTATCTAGCTGAATTCCTGGGACCAGACGAAATTTAGGTCTCCTACTCCTCCGCCATCTTGCTCCTCTCCCATCTTGAATTCATTTTGCTTTGAACACTTCTCCCTCCCTTGTTACTCCACGGTAGACCTGTTTGCACACTGTAAGCCCATTGGGGGAACTAGCTGACATTGGGGTAAGCTTAATGGAGGAAGAAGCTGACCTTTAGATTTTAACTGGAACACTGAATTAAGACAGAACACATTGCACTAAATAAACTGATCAGCACATTCTTGCATGTCACTCCCTAAGCCTTCATTACTATGAGCTTATAGTAATCAATCCTGTTTAAAGTTTCTTAGGGAACTTGAAGAACCTGGCCCATGTTTATTGAAGACATTTGACTGATTGCTCAAGCCTTGGTAGAGCTATAGCTGGTCTCTTTAAAAGCCCTGCCTGCATGGAGATGAGACGGTGGATTTTTAGGACATCAGTATGCCATCTTCTGGGTTAGCTGGCTTTCTTGATGAAAATCATTTTCCTTGCCCCAACACTTTGTCTCTCTCCATTTATTGGCCTGACGTGCAGTGAGCAAATTGGATCTGGGTTCAATGACAAGCCACAGTGATCCCATCTTTTGATTTTAATCACTGACCCTTCCATTTAGAGCAAGTGTTTACTCTCCCTAAAAAAAAAAAAAAAAAGTTTATGTGATGCCTGGGTGACTCAGCTGGTTACGTGTCTGACTCTTGACCTCAGATCAGGTCTGGATGTCAGGGTTGGAGTTTGAGCCCCGCTTTGGGACCCATGCTGGGTGTGGAGTCTACTTTCAAAAGGAAAGTTCCCTATGTAGTAGTTATAAAAGAGTGTCTAAAGGAAAGTGAAAGCAAAACTGTCACCTTTGGTATAAAAGTCCGTCCTCATGCAGCAGAACAACAGACTCCACCATGGCTGAGGTAAGCCCCCTGGAACTTTCTATTTGCAGTTCTCTAGCAGTAGGCCACCTCCAGCTTATAAAAGCCTCAGTGTGGGTTCCTGGTGTTGCGCACTCTGAATTCCAGAGTTTGTAAAGGCTTTAAAAGGATATTATGGAAAAGTCTTGGTTGTTTCAAAGTCTCTTTTCCTGCAGGACAGTGTGGGCTTCAGGCCCAGTGAGCCTCCCCTCTCCTCTGGCTCAGCGCAGGGCCCAGGGGCTCCCGGGGAAGGAGCTGGGTTGGGGTGGGGGTTTTGCCTGCCTGAGCTGGGAAGCATCTGGTGTGTGGGCCGAGGAGGTGGTCCCAGGACTTGGGAAGTGAGGGGATTCCTCAATGGCACTGTCTCCCTCGCTGGGGCAGGAGTTCAGTGCCTGCTCAGCTCTCTCCTCCTCTCTCCTCTTCCCTCTTTGGCATCTGTCCTGCCTCGGTAAGTATGCTTCCATTCCAGCTTTCCGACTCTGATCTTCCAGTCAGCCCTGATGTGCAGATTCACACGGTCCAGGCAGGGGCAGGCCAGGATCCGACGGTGAGTGTGCACCAAAGGGGAATGAGTTGAATCAGGCAATTCAGAGAAATGACTGCATTCTCAGGAGGAGTGACCCACTCTGCACCCACCTGATCCCCTGGGGTGAGCTGAGGGCTTGATTGCTGCAAAAACAAATCTGCCCTTTGTTGCCTGGGCAGCCTCTCCTTCTCCAGGTGGGGCCCGGGGTCACATTTTATTGCCACCAGCTACTGTGCAGGGTGTCTGGGCCTGACCTTAGTTAGACATTGAATCTCAGAGTGAAAAATCCCCTTTTGATTCCAAAGTGGAGATCATCCCTGGGCCTGTTGTGCCCTGGCTGAGGGAGGGGAGTTGCTGGGCCCTGGGTCCTGGCCCTGCTGACCCTCCAGCCCCTCTTCCATGTGGATTTCCTCTGCCCCCATTCCAGGCCAGGCCCTTCACCGGATCCTGGGGAGGAAGGAGCCGGGCAGCACACAGGATCCTGCCCCAGTGGAGCTCAGAGCCCACAGGGAGGTGCAGACAGACACGGGGAATCCCAGCAGGACAGGATCCATGCAGAGGGAGGTGGCAGCTGAGCCAGGCTGGGGCCCTGAGAGCAGCTGCTCAGAGAGGGATGTCTGTGTAGGGGGAGAAGAAGAAAGGAGGGGTGGGGAAGGTGACTGTGACCGAGACAGCCAGATGTGCAGAGGATCAGAGGCAGGGGCCAGCTCTGTGGTGAGAAGGGCAAGCCAGTCAGCCTGGGGCCGGAGGGCAGGGACTGTGAGGAGGGCTGAAGAAGGGCTGGTTGGAGAGCCTTTGAGCTGCCCAAGGTGCATGCCCCGTGCCCTGAGGCCAGGGAAGGTCATGGCCAGATGTGCCCTTTGGGAAGGCCACAGTGGGTCTTGGGAAGACTGGGTGTGGGGTAGCAGGGACAGGAGGCCTGGTGGGAGTGGGGGGTGCAGTCAAGAGGCTGGGAGGGTTGGGGAACTGGTTGAATAATTCGGAAGAGCATGCAACTCTTGATCCTAGTGTGGTGAGTCGAGCCTCATGTTGGGTGTGGAGATTACTTGAATAAATAAAATTTAAAAAAATAAAGGCTGTGAGGTCTCAGAGTCAAGCCTGGAGACATCCCTATGAATTCAGAGGGTGGGAAGTGGACCAGGTGATGAATTCAGAACAAACTCCCAGGGTCAGCATTGGTTGTTGGATATTGGCATGACAAAGAGGGCTAAGGAAGGCTGACCCCTGGTCTCTGATTAGGTGGCCTGCAATGAGAGAGAGAGGATTGTGGTTTGCTGAGAGCAGCCAGAGAAAGGGAGAGAAACTGAAACATTCTCAAATCAGATTCTGTAGCCCCCTGGGATGAGGGTGGGGGCCACTGAGGAGCAGGAAAGAGGTGTGGAGGGGGAGAGAGGCAGGACCAAATCAGGGGGAGAAGAGGCAGCTCAGTGCTGCCCATGACTGTTCTTGGCCAAGCCCCTCTCTCTCTGATCCTCAGTTGCCCACCTGAGCAATGGGGTGATGCGTCCTTCCCCTGTGGCTGTGGGAAAAGTACCCGCAGAGGCCTTCTTTGTGCTTGTTGGGTGTAAGACCCTCAGGGCCCTCCAGAGCCTCAGGTCCCTGCAGGATGCTGTTAGCTCGTGTCTCTCAGGTTGGCATCTCCAAGGGCGGGTGTCCTGGGGCTGGAGGGGCCAGCATCTGAGGAGGATCAGGTGTCTGGTGCGACCATGGACAGTGAGGGCCAAGAGGTGTGATAAGGACTGGCAAAGGGTAGACTCTCCTCCCTGACTGCTGGGGAGGGTCTGGGGCTCCCAGGCTCAGCAAAGGTGTTTTCATGCAGGTGGTCATGTCCGCAGGCTCGGGAGCAGGTGTACAATGCACCTGCACATGCATGCTCACAACCTCAGTGTGCATATGAGTACACCCAACACACACACACGCAAACCCAGCATATACAGATACATACAGATGTGCCCATGAGTACACCCAAAACATACACACAAGCAAACCCAATATATACACACAAAGAGATGTGCCCATGACTATGCCCACACACACGCACAAACCCAACATATACAGACACACACAGAAGTGCCCATGAGTACGCCCAACAAACACAAACCAAACATATACAACACACACAGATGTGCATGTAAGGGAACACAACACAGAGAACACACAAGTACCACATGTACATATACACACATGTGCTCCCCAAACACACCCCATACAATGTGATCATGCACACATACATACATAATAATATGCGCACACTGAACAAACCTCCACTTTCTCATTCCACAAGGACTTTTTATCCAGGCTTCCAGCCCCTAGTTGTGTGGAAGCTCTAAAAGTGACAGTAGGATGAGGACTTTACAGGGGCCGGGAGCTCCCACCCATGCAGGCTCTCATATCACCCGGTAGAGTCCCCAGACCAAGCTGCAGAGCCCCAGCTGGGCTCTCTGCTGTTGCCTAGAAGCCTGCCTACACCGTCTTGGGTTTTTGTGTTGCAGGCTAATGAAGAACTCAGACCTGGAGACCTGATCGAGATTTTCCGCACTGGCTACGAGCACTGGGCCACCTATGTGGGAGACAGTTATGTGATCCATCTGACTTCTCCAAGTAAGCACTGTTGGAAATATTATTTTCAAAATATTTGTTACCATCATGAGAACAATTAGAGGAAAGTGCTGAGCAAGGGAATCCTGAGTTGGTTTCTCCCTGAGCTTGCTTGAGCAGACCATACATCCATATCCCACTGGGTAGTTGAGTGGAGTCCCATAGGTCTGGGGGCAGGGAAGGCAAGTAGAATGCACATTCCAAGGATGGGATGAGATGAGGAGCCTCTGATTGCTGGAGGCGACCTCATGGTCAGTGGTGTTCACATTGTCTGGATGACCTCCCCCAACACCAATATATTTTGATTATCAAATGGAGATAATATTTACCTCCAAAGTTAAAGGTGATGAAGTAATATATGGAAAGTAAACAGTGTGTGTGATCAAATAAATTTGATCTCTTTCTGAAATGTGTGAGTGTACAAAATTGAATAAATAGTAAATATTTTACCATCACTGTTTAAAATGGCAAAATCTTTGAACAACCAACATGTTCAATAATAGGGCTTGATCAGATAGATGATCTATGTCCATGTGATGGAAGACAACGACATTGCATAAGCAATCATGACGTTCATGATTTAAAAAATATTCACAGCTCGTTCAGTAAAAAGAACAAAATCTATGAATGCCCCAATCACATTTGTGAAAAGACAAACTGCAAGATCTCAGTAGTGTACTCCCTTGGTCCTCTTTCTTGTCCTGCCCCTTCTCCCTCCCTGTCTCACCTTCCCCTGCAGCTCCCGAACACCAGGTGGTGTCTCTGATTCCAGGTGAGTTCCCAGAGGCTAGCTCCAGCAGGATCTTCTCCATTCTGAGCAACAGGGCAGTGGTGAGACGGGACCTCCTGTGGGACGTGGTGGGGAGCCGCCACTATAGGGTCAATAACCTCCTCGACAACAAGTATAGACCACAACCTGTGAACCAGATCATTTACTCTGCGAAGCAGAAGGTTGGTCAGGAGATGGAATACAGTCTTCTGCGCAGGAACTGTGAGCACTTTGTCACTGGCCTGAGATATGGTGAGCCCGAGAGCAGGCAGGTAAGGCCCTCTTTGAGACGATCCCTCTCCCTCCTGGAGGTCCCCTTGGGGTGGTAGTGACCAAGCTGTGCAGCCAGAGGGGAGAATCACCATGACCCAGTGGCTGGGAGTCAGGAAGTCTAAACTCAAATCTTCAATCAGCTTCTGAACCACTTGGGGTCTGTGGACAGGTCACTCCTTCCCTGGGCCTCAGTTTCCCCATGTGCAGGAGGAGGAGTTGGATGGAGGACCTCTGCAGGCCTTCTAGGATCCTTCACCTCTAGGATTCACCCTAAGGGCAGCTCTTGATGCCCCCAGAGATGTCAAGAAGAGTGTGGGCCAAGCCAGCACCAGGACAGGTGTCCTAAGGCCCCAGAGAGCACTCAGGCAAGGGATGCTCAAGGTCCACAGGCTTATGTACGACCTGAAGGATTCATTTATGGAAAATCTGGGGCACAGCTTCCACGCCCACCCCTTCTGGCTTCCACGGTTGTTGTCCCCAAAACACACAGCTAACAAGTGGCAGAGGCAGGATTCCAACCCCAGCTGTCCTTCTCTAGAGTCTCTGCTCCATCCACCGAACTGCAGCACCTGCAGGGCTAAGCATTTAAAGTAGAACATCACTACAACTCCAAGTTGGGTCATTTCTTTAAGAACTCGTAAAGAGCACCCATGTGCCTGGCAGAACTGGGTGGGGGATGCAACGAGGAACAAGACAAGTGACACATGTGAGGTCCTTGCTCTCCCGGGGGCACAGGTGTGACATGGTCAGCATTCGAGAGCCGTTCCTGCGCCACCTCACACTGGCTGCAAGGGCTCCCTGATGGCCGCCAGGATCTCAGCCCTCCTGCCTTCATCTTCTTGTCCTTTGCACAATCACCCTCTGGGGATTTAGGTGCTTTAAATACCCACAGAGTGGATCGAGTTGCCCTGGGGCCCATGTACAGCCCTGCCAGCTGACTCCATCCAGCGGCTCCTTCCCCATCCAGTCCTTTTCTCCCCATTTCCCGGCCAATATTTGTTGACTCCTGAGTTTGTCAAGTGGGCCAAGGGGCACGTGAGTCTCCTTGAGCTGAATGTTCTTCTTGAATGTACAGCCTGTCCTCGGATTCCCGACAGACTGTGACCTCCCCTCCTCTCTCTCTTTCAGGTCAGAGATGCAGTTAAGTATTCCATCGTAGGAACTGGCTTGGCACTCATTTTCGCCTTTGGAGTCATGGCAAGAAACAAGCAGCAGAAGCAATGAGTTGAAGGGCCTGTCCCATCAGCAGGGACTTTATCCATTTAGGGGATCTGGTTGCCCCAGAGGTTTTGAGGTTCGGTCTGTGGATTTCATTCTGTTTGACAATAAGGCTTATTTTTACAGAATAAAATAAAGCCCAACAAGGGAGCACTTTACTGGAGGAGACGCAGCAAGAACTGGCTGGTGTGAAGTGTGTGGAGGCGCAGCTGGGCTCTGGGCCTGGCCACGCACGGTGGCGCCCTGGGCTTCGGCCCTTTTCTCTCCCTTTGAGTCTGTGGCTGTGTTCTTTGTCTTGCAGGAGCCA